TGGATATAGGCGACAACCGTATGGTAATAGCAGCTGGCAAGATACCAGCCTCCAAGCATCCGGCCAGGCGGCCATGTACTACAGGCGTCGTGAGGCCAACTATCAAGCACAAGAGGCATCATGAGGCCGAATGTCAAGTGCTACAGGCGTCATATGGCCAAATGCCAAGAGTCAGACGGTCAAGCTTTGTAAGCTATTCTTATTATCATATCATTTTTATGATTGTACAACAAAAAAAAAAAAAAAAAAAAAAAAAAAAAAAAAAAAAAAAAAGGGAAAGCCGCCTAGCTGCATGGTTATTTTGGTGGAAAAAGAAAAGCATGCAGCACTTAAGTATATATTATACATGTGTAGCATACTATTAAATTACTAGCCACACGGCACTTTGACAGTAAAATTTGTGGTCATATGGCAAGCTCCATTTGAAAGCATTAGGTGGCAATCCATTATTATAAGTTTCACATATGTTATTCTCATGCATGAGAACAATATAGCATGCATTTTTGAAAGCTTGCTTGAGCTCTCATGAGACGGCAACCGTATGGATATAGCAGGCGGCAGTCGTAATCAAGAATAGCCACAACCAAGAAGCTGTTGTGAGGGGCAAGATATACAAACGGCTCTCATGCGTGACCAAGGGCTGCCTGGTATACTTGGGTGTCCGAAAGCTCTATTACAAGCATAGGACACAAGCGGCCTTGATTTGAAAGCATACAGCCGGTCAAATATTTTGGCTGAATCAATGGACTCATACGGCACTACCCTTGCCATGAGGGGTTCCAGCAATTTAGGCTCAGTATTCAATGGCGGAGTCGCTACAAAAGCCAAGCAAGATGCGCCTCTTGCATGAATGAAGGTGCGCTTGTGTGTGTGTTAGCATAAGTGGCAAAATTAAACCAAGCGGTGTGAAATGGCAAATGATGTAAAAAGAAGTCGGTTGTGAAGTGCTTGAGTTATGTGATGCGTCTAAAACACCGATCATCCGGCCGGTAAATTACCCCGCATCCGGCATGAATAAGTCCGGCTGTGTACATAACAAGAAACCGGATGGCTATCGTTACCAAACAAAGTCTCTTGTAACCGGCCTGTAGTACATGGCCGGCCTTGTCATCTTTGAGTGAGGGTCTTTATGTTGTGGTTATCAAGGGGGGCAGCCGGTCTTATCATGCGGCGGCCTTCGTGTGTGGGCAAGCAAGACACGCAGCCGAGAGATGCTTTGGCTTCGTATACAACCGGCATTATCCCTGCCAGAGCATGTTATGACACTTAATGGAGTCAGCCGGCTGTGAGTATGAGCAATGTGATGCACCTAACAAGCCAAGCATCCAGCCAGCTCTAAACAATCGACCCGGATGTGTATACTTTGAATAAGCAGCGTGCAATTGGCATCATCAAGCATGAGCATTACGGCTCTTACGCTGTTGTGATCATTAGGCACAACCGGCCCTATCCCAGCCACCGACCATCCGGCCAGGCGGAAAAATGTTTAGCCGGCTGTTTGAAGGCTAGAAGAGTCCGGCTGCTCGGAGGGGTGTCGCATGGGTTGCATTAATAGTTAACCCGGCTGTGAGTTCAGTAGCTGATGCTGCTGCTCGACGCTATTGTCAATGGGGTCATGCGGCATTAAAGATGACATTTAAGCCGGTTGTATGTATGCAAGCTAGGCCATAAACTGTCCGAATTAATGTGCTTGTGCTTCATCCAGCTTCTTTACTCACCTACATGCATTCAAATGGGAGCATTGTCGTTGAGCATCCGGCTATGTTGTTAAGCCGGTTGTGCTTATTCCAAAGCCATCAAGGACAGTTTGAATGGTCCGGCTGTGCGTATATGAGTTTGTTCATGTGTTTGAAGGCCGTATGAGTGGTGATCAAACCGAACCCCCCGGCTTAGCAAACGGCCTCCGTATGTAACATCACTCAACCAAGGAAAGCCTCATGACTCTAAGAGCAGTCAGCATCATCACAAGTGACTTCGAAGCAAAGGATTGACCGTATATTTGGCATGATCACTGCCGCATGTATGTGGGTCAATGCAACCTCATGAAATGCCTAGGGTGATGACCGAGTGTGTGGATGCCTTGCCGAATAAATAGATTTCGAGACCGAGTATAATCATGAGTATGGTTTGAGGCCGAATGAAGGCAAGCGGCATTGTTGTGAGCTCCGTTTGTAGCTTGGTTATCATGAGTATTATGATAACATTTTGATTAAAATAATGGATTGATCAAATCATTATTTAAAAAATGATTGGTCATTATTATGATTATTTTAATCATTGATCAAATCGTTGATCTAACCATTATTTAGAAAATGGTTGGTCATTATTGTGATTATTTTAATCATTGATCAAACCATTAATTAAAAAAAAATAATAATAAAAAATAAAATAAAAATAAAAAACCCCGAGTAGCCACTCCACCCCCAGTCGCATAAGCTAGATGCGACAGCAAGCACCCGGCTTGAGGGAATTTCGGGCTGCCTCGTTCTAACCTCAGCCGGCCCTGAGCCCAGGCCAACATCTTTCAGGCTTTTGCCTGCTGAAATAGGCCTCTCAAGCGCAGGCGGCCTTCTGGTAGAGGCAGGGGCAGCCGGAACCCTTCTTGTTTTGGAAGCAGGCTGGGAGGGCTCCTCTCCCGGTCTCTTCAGCATTTGTCTTAGAGAATGAGGAACATTCTTGCTCCCCGTCTGAAAAGGGAAAAAGCACAGCCGGTTAATATAAAAAAATAAGCTTCAAACAATACAAATGGTAAAAGGCCGGCGCTTACCCCATCATCTTTGGCCGCTAGTTGGGCCCTCTTTTTCTCTAGTTGATCCTTCCGGATCTCTGCAGCAGACTTAGCCGGCGTCTTTTTAGGAGGCACCATTTCTAATCCTTTCTCTACAAGGAAGAAAATCAAAAAATCAGAATCCATTCAAGTATAATACAGACGGCATAAAGTGCCGGTTAACAATCAACATACGTCTGCTAAACATTGTGCTTAGGCCACAGGCGGAAAGGAACGCCTCGTCCTTTAGCCAGTCTGGATGAGGGACCCAGTTTTTGGGGACAATGACTTCTGTCCCATCATCCAAAGGCAAGGAGGTCTTTTTTAACAGACCCGGCTCCATTATTTGATCTCAAGCCTCCTCTGGTACTTTACAAAGGGCGCACTTCTTTCCAAGGAGAGTCGGGTGTGTGTTGTAGCGACGCATCCGGTGGTTCAGTTACAGCGAGGAGGAAGAAACCATGTAAAACTTGCTCTTCCAGCTGCTCCACTTAGACGGCTTGTCAAACATCATCATAAATTCCGGGTGCGTGGTCAATGTATACCACGCATTCCAGCCGCCTGGGGCACGGCTTAGGTAGTGCATATGTGCAAACGCCTCCCAGCTAGGCGTTATGTGCTGCATCTCGCAGGCGGCTATGTATCCTAGTATATTCACCCAAGAGTTGGGTGTTAGCTACAGACGCCAAGGTCGTAACCCCTTAGAATAGCCTTTATTGTGTTATGGACCAATAGCATGCTAACACGTGTCAGCCTCAGAGAGGCCCAAGGGGATCCAATCCTCTACTAACACGTGGCACTTTAACCCTAAAAGGGGAATTGTTCCCCTTCCACTATAAATAAAGGAAAAACCTCATTTATTACACATTCATAAATATACACACAAAACCCGAGCAATATTAATTGCAGACTTCTCTCTTAATCAGAGAGGAAAAACCTTTACATTCCGCACTTTTATACATCCGAAAATGTTCTAACTTGATCGTCGGAGGCGGAACTCCACCCAACCGAATTTTCCGTGGTTTTGCAGGTATAGACGGTCGACGCGCATTCTTGGAATTGTAACTCTCTTGAGGGACTCCAAAAACCCCGAAACAAGTGGGGTTGGTCAAAGAGAGAAATATATTATTTGTGCAAGTGAAGTAAGTCGAAAAAATAAATAATTAAATAATAGTTGGTCATTACCAAATAATGAAGTGTTCTAATTACTATACATTATAAAACAGACGTAAAAAAAAGTGTTAGGGTTATTACAAAACAAAGAGTAGGATATATTCAACAATCATAATTTTGATGAAGGAATATTTTATTTAAATTGTTATGTATTCTTTAAATTCATACTTACTCCGTTTTCTTATACTTGTAACACATCCTTTAGGTACACATTTTTAGGAGGTGATTAATAAAGGAGAACAAATAAATTTATTAAAATAATTTTAACATCGAGAATAGAGATGGATTAGGTACCATGTTTTAAAATTCAATTAAGTTTGTTGTTTACATTGTAAAACAGAGGAAATATTTCTTTTGTACTACATAGATGTCTTATTTATTAAGGAATTGATTTTACCACTAGTAGAAAAACACAATTCCGCACCGGTTCAAAACCCCCCATTCGCACCGATTTTAAACCGGTCTAGAATTAAGGGGTGCGAAAAGAGTATAACAATCGCACCAGTTAGAAAAAAAAAATTGACTTTTAATACCACAAAAATAACAAAAAATGTTTTTCAATACCACATAACACTAAGGGCTTGGCTTCATTTTTTGTATTCAGTATTCTTTTTATTTGAAAACAAAAAACCAAAAACATGATACAAGAAAAAGGTGTTTACACTTTTTTTGTTGCCAATTTTCAAAATTATCATTATTAATAAGCTTTCAAAATGCAAAACAAACCTACAACCGTTCACCCAATCTAAATTATCGAATCTGAAACTACTCTAGGTAGCTAATATCACTTGAATTGAGTTTTACTTACTAACAATAGTAATGGAAATTGAAAAGAAATAATTCATTAACAATAAACATAATGATTCAATTACTCTCGTCATTAATGACAATAACAAGTATCTATTAGTACTTTTAGACCTCTTGTTGGTACAAGTCTACAAATACCAACAAAATTATTGGTACTTTTAGACCTCATATTAGTACACTTGTTATTATCATTTATAGCTAGAGTAATTATTGGCGCGAACTTTATCGCAAAAGTTGCTACTTATACGCTATCTTAGGAAATAGCCTAATCTTTTCTCTATATTTTAGATAATTAAATCAAATGGCTAAGACCAGATGATGTACCAGAATTTCCACACAAAAATTGTAGTACAAGCTATATGTAAAAGGCTTCTCCCTGTAACCCACTTTGGAATAAAATACACTGTCTTACTCAAAATTTCACAAAACAATATTGATAATAATAAGATATATATTAGCAAAACCTCAAGCCATTAACCAACAATACATTGATATCCTGACTAACTGTCATTAGAAGGATCTCACATTCTCCCTGTAACCGCCACAATGTCTGAGAATCTTTGCATCTCACCATCTGATGGAGTCCCTACAGCCCTTCATTGGCACTCGATGCCAATATTCCAGAACAAGTAGACCATTTCACATTCAGCCAAGTTATAAGCAATATGTTCCAGTAACTATCAAACAAGAAATGGCACCCTCATGTTCTCTGCAAACATATCGAGCAAGAAAAATGAGTCGATAACAAATTAGCACCTTCGGTTTACATACTCAGTAGACTTTTCACTGTAATAACAACCCCCGATAATAATCCAAACTCCGCCTCTGACCATAGCACAGTAAACTCGAGTTTAAAGTCAGCTTATTTTTGTTCAATCAACCATCATCACAGTAACATTCTGCAGTAGCAAGGGATAGCAAAATACAATATCAAGCATTGCATTGCAAGCAATCAAGCACAACTAACCAGATAAGATAGACAAGTGTAATTGAAGCATGTTTAGAAGAAAAAAATACCTAATGTAAAACTGAAGGTACTAAAATGCATCCAACTTCCTTGAAGTGTATTTATCACCATGCAATGTGATTCTCCAGCAATCAGCTTGAAATACAAAAACAGAGTTCCTTTTTGGAATAACTGTAGAAGTTTAAGCGGTTAGATATTGAAAACCAATTAATGAACATAGAAATTGGAACTAATCACGAAAAAAAGATCTACAGAGAATAAAGACATGATAACTTGCAGCTATTTATTGACCACACAAACTAACAGTAAAGGAATACTCCAAAATCAACATCTGAAGAGTCAGAGACTTTGCAAACTTGCAATTGTCAACAATAAATGACAAGACAATAATATTACACAAAATCTCAAGCACTCAATAATTACCATGGTACAATGATATGGCTGCATCGTTTCTGTTCGGCTGTATTGTAATGGATTTTCAATTAACCAAACTGAAATCGTCTGGTTCACTACGCAGAACTTCAAAAACCCACAATCTCATCAAATCAAATATTTTAATCCTGACAGCCCCACATTGAGAGTTACATCATGTGTTTCACACACAAATTACTTGTTATTGACACATATCTTCCCAATAATGGCAATAAGCCTCTAATACTAAAACTAATCTTAATACTTTTCTGTTTTTAATACTTCTGACACACCTTCTTGACCTGCTAGGTAAACGACAGATTAAGCTATAAAATTTAAACTGTAACAACTTAGAGTATGTTTGGCCAAGCTTCCGTAAAACAATTTCTGTTTCCTAGAAGTAGTTTTCTAGAAACTGTTCCTAGAGAAACACTTGCAAGAAACATATTTGTTTGGCCACAAAATTTTAGAAGTGCTTTTGAGAAATAGAAAAAATATTACATTGTTTGGCCCTTTGAAAATTGGCATAGTACGGCCATGCTTATTTGATAAAAAGATTGATGTGTATTTGATAAAAGAAGATTAATGTTTATTTGATAAATGAAAATGAGTGGAGTACACTTTATTCATTTTTTTTTTTTTTTTTATATAAGACCCATTATATTTCTCAAATTTCTCTACCTTTTCCTTGCGAGTGCTACTGCATTAAGCTATTATCTTAAATCAAACCACCACGGCACCACCACTTGCTATTCTTAATATGTCGCTTGCTAAACCCATAAAAACCCATCCTAAAAATCATAGGATCGAATACATCAATACTCCCACCTGCTCCTCTACAAGTGCACCAATTTCGCCACCACAATCTCCATCAGGCCGGCGATGGTAAAGCTTCGGGGTTTTAATTGCAAATATAGAGCATGTTCTTATGGAGTTGTGGTCAATTTACAGAGATAAAGATAGAGAGAGAGCGGCAAAAGGGCTTGATTTTATGAGAGGATATAAGGTCATTTTAACTTTTTTTGAGGGTATATTGGTCCACAAAAATTTTCATTTAATGGTAAACTCCTCCCCGAGAAACTGAACAAAGAAGCTACAAATTGTAGCTTCTACTTCTACAGTGTATTTTATTCCAAAGTGGGCTTCTCGAGAAGCTGAAATTACTTTTGTAAATCACACTGTTTGGCCAAGTTTCTCCTTTTACCACTTAGAAGCACTTTGAGAAGCCCGGCCAAACAGGCACTTAATAACTTCTTTTAATCGGTGGTAAAATTATTTTAAAAACTTTGTCCATATACCTATTCTAATATCTTCCTTCTCTATTAGTAAATAAAAATTAAAAAAAAAAAAAAAAAAAGTTTGATATTTTGAAAATGTAATTTCCATTTACAAATTAATATTTTATATAATGAGTAAGATACATGGTTAAAATTAAAGAATCTAACAAAGTTGCTCTCAAACTCTTTTAATACCTCAACTAGATCATCAAAACTCTAATATGAGTTGAAACCTCAAATATAAACCAAAAATATGGAAATTTCTACCAAATAGATGAGTCAAAGATTGATACATAGGTCTGATATGAATTCTTGAGCCTCAAGTAGTCTATGGCTTTGATGTGCAGTCGTAACTTGAAAAATTGAATGAACTATTGAGTTCAAATACTCACTTTTAACTCCCTCACCCCTCTCCCTATCCCTATCTCTTTGTGACACATGCAATAACAAAATAAGATGATTATGCTCATTTGGGGCAATGTATACAAAATTCTACACATTGTTGTACAATAATTTTCACACATCAATCTTAAAATTTCCAGTAACACTTAAGAGGTGATATTTGTAATGATGGTTTTGAAGAGCTTAAGGGGTATTTGTGTTATGGGTTTCAAGAATGAAAAAGGGAAACAACACCTTTTTTTTTTTTTTATTATTATTATTATTATTATTATTATTATTTTTTGTTTAGGCCATTTTAATAAGACACTATGATGTTGTTTACTTGTTTGGTTGCTTTTAATATCAATAGGCAATCAAAATCCCATGAATTTCATTTTAGCAATGTTGTTGGTTGACATTAAAAATGAAAAATGAAGGAAATCACAATTCATAAGAATTTTTACTTCCCATAAAACAAGGGAATTTTTTCACCCCCCGACCTTTGGTCATTCACAATTCCTAGCATTTACAAATTCCCACATGATAACCAAACACATTTGTATAATTCCTAGGAACTTTACAAAGGAAGTAATTTCCCAAGAATTAGAATTTCCCGCATCACCACACGAGGCCTATAATCCTCCTTTATTCCCTTTTTAGATCTCTAAACTTGGACCTCCCCTTTGAGTAACCACGGCCACTAGGGACCCCTACTCTTGCTTCTTCCTCCATTCTCAACAGCAAGAGCTTGTAAAAAACTCCTATATCCTTTCTTCTAATCTCTTTATTGAACAAGCTCTCTTTGATCACATCAAAAGATAGTCAACACTGAGTAGAGTTACTAATAGTCAAAGCGAAGGTATCCCATTTGGCAAACGCTAATGGAAGACTTGTTATATTGCAAAGACTTACATGAATTAATTGAAACATCACAAAAGCAAATGGTAGCATTCTAAACCAACAAAACCCGAAAAAATGGATGAAAAAGAATCGGTAAAGTTGAATAGAAAGACTTTAAGGACTATTAGACACTGGATTGATGTAAACACTTTCAATCATGTGTCTCAAGATTCTAGCCCATATGACTTGTGGAAGAAATTGAAAGGTCTTCATGAAAGAAAGTCCGCTCATAACATTCATTGATCAAGAGACATGTTAATCTGATATTGAAAAGTGAGAAGTCAGTTTCTGAGCATCTTAGTGAATCCCAACACATCATTAACAAGCTGACTACTAATACTAGTAGACTCTAAAAGCCGAATAATTGAGAAACCTTGGTTGTGACTATTAGTAACTCTACTAAACGTGGTGTGCTATTATTGGATGTGATCAAAGAGAGAATGTTCAATGAAGAGATAAGAAGAATGGGGATGGGAGTTGACAATTCACAAGATCTTGTTGTTTAGAATAGAATAATAAGCGAGGGTAGGGGTCCTAATGGCCGTGGTAACTCGAAGGGGAGGTCTAAGATGGGAAAGAGATTAGGACATGTCATTATTGAAATAAGCTAGGCCACATCAAAAAGTTTTGCTACTATTGGAAGAAAGAACCAGGTGAGGAACAAGATTCGCAAAAAACGAGAGATGATTAAAATATTGCAAAACTGATGATGAGGTCACTTTGATTTGTGCAGCTAGTGAGTGTCATCATGTTGAAAGTTCACATAAATATTGCTTGTAGTCCTGAACTACAAAGCTAGTGACTTTGGTAGTGTGAAGCTCAGAAAACATTGTTGGGTTAGGTGATATTCATGTAATGAGAAGTGTTGGGTGCATGCTTACATTGAAAAATGTACGTCATATTCCTGATGTGCGCCTTAACTTGTCTACTAATGTTCTTGATCAAGAAGGCTTCCGACATACATGTGATGATGGAAATTAAAAGTTGTCTAAGGGTTGCTCGAGGCGAGTTATGTTGCTCTTTGTACAAGACATACTCGAGTGTATGTTCAGAATGGTGAGTTGAATGCAGTAGAAGGGAAGAATTCTCCTAACTTGTGGCACGGAAGATTAGGACATATGAATGACAAAGGTTGAAACTTTAACGGGTGAACATTTATTCCTATTGATAAAACTGTTTTTCTTAACCCTTCTGCTAACTGTTTGGAGCAAAGCAGCATAGAGCTTTTTTTTTAAGATGCCTATCAGAAAGCAAGCTTAGTTGGAGTTAGTACACTCTAATGTTTGTGGTCCCATTGAAATTGATCTCTTGGTAGTAATAGATATTTTGTCATGTTTATTGATGACGCTACTCACAAAAACTTAGGTGTACATGTTGAAGTCATAAAGTCCAGTGTTCGAGGTCTCGAGAAATTTCATGCCATGGTAGAAAGGGAAATGGATAGAAAGTCGAACCATCTCCGAACAATGGTGGTGAGTATACTTCGAATGAATTCAAGTAATATTTCTCACAGCATGGCATTAAACATAAGAGGACAACCAAGTTCACCATAACACAATGGAGTAGCAGAAAGGATGAACGGAACCATTGTGGAGAAAGTGAGATATATGCTTAGAATCACTGATCCTCCTAAGACATTTTAGGCTGAAGCGATATAATGTGTCGTGTACTTGATCAATCGTTCTCCATCCATTCCTCTTGGTCTTGATATTCCTAAGAGAGCATGAAATGGGTGTGATCCTTCACAATTGCATTTCAAAGTCCTTGGATTCAGGCATACATGCATGTGCCACAAAGACTAAAGCTTGATTCCAAGACTAACCCATGTGCATTTGTTGGTTACAGTGATGAAGAGTACGGTTTCAAACTATATGACCCAAAAAAGGAGGTATTGAGAAGTAGAGAATGGTTATGAGTCCAAGGAGCACTTCTACTTCAGCATTGTCTTTTGATACTACTAATATTGTTTGTTCTCTTACTCCTACAAATGAAAATGTTGAGGAGATTCATGATGATGTTGATGAGGTACAATTTGATGTTGATGTACCAATTTATGATGATGATGGTGTTGTTCTTGATGAGTTTTCATCAAATGAGGAAGAAATACATGATGAAGAGGTAAATGCTAGGACAAACAAGTCAATGAGCTCATAGCAAGGAATCATAAATCTCTCATCTTGTACCGCAACTATAGCTATAGGTCCAGCCTAAGTCTTGGTAAAATATGTTTTAAATTTGGTCCACTTTGGACAGCCCAACAGCTAAGCATTTTACTCGTTTTAGTTTCCGATTGGTGCTTATCTTTGTGGCTTCTTCAGTAAGCATTGTAGTAGTAACACTTAGATGAAATGAGGGTAGTAAGAATGGCACACACACAAAAATCCAAAAAAAAAAAAAGAAAGAAAGAAAGAAAAAAAAAAGAGGGTTTCAAAGAGAGCCTTCAGAAATCTGTCTATTACCAAAAATTCGATCATTTGATCATGCTGTAAATGTTAGCCTATTGAGGACACATAGGACCTTTATTTGAACAATTGAATTGATTGAAGCTCTGGTTCGTCCGTCCGTAATTGCTGCAGGCTGTCCGTAATTGCTGCAGGCTAGAGACCCGCGTTTGGGTGATTTCTATACCTTTTATCTTTCAATTGTTCATCTCTTATTGATGTTGTTGGTGGGTGTATAAACCTTTTGTTGACTGATTTGGGTATATTTTACCCTCAGTTATCAATAAGAGAAGCTTAAGGTGTACTCCTCAAATGGTCCCGTGGTTTTTACTCTTCACATCGGAAAGGTTTTCCACTAAAAATATCGTGTTGTTTGCTTTAAAATTTCTGCCATATTGATCCTTGGGGATGTCATGTGTACTACTCAAGTCCTACACTTGGGGATGGAGCAACGAAAAAAACTCACCCACCCACCACTTGATCCATCCAACTACCAAAAAAACCCACCCCACACCACCCACACGAAAAAAACACTATCCCACTATGAAAATAACACACACAAACACCACAAAAATCCACCCAGCACCACTTACACCACCATAAAAACCCAACTACCTTTTATTATAAACCAAAATTTGAAGAGAAAAAAAAAATCATAAATGGAAGAACGAGAGATGCATACACATATCATTAGTCATGGCTCTAGATGATCAAACTTAACCATAAGAACTCAAGATCCGGAGCTTTCATGGTTGATTTTGACCTCTAAAGCTTCGACGAGTAGTTGAGTAGGAGCGGCGACCAGAGAGGTCGGTGGTGAGATTATTAGAAACAAGGAGACTATGGTCGAGCAACATGAATAGTGGTGAAAGATGGAAAGAGAGGAGTGAATTTGTCAACTTGTCAACCCAAACAATATTCCAAAATTAAGGTTATTCCTATTTCACTATGTCTCTTTCTTGATTTCATTCCCTCTTCTCTTTGCAAACAAAACTCTGCCTCAAACTTTTTTGTTCATTACCATTATCACCTAAAAACGCATTGTTGTTCCAAATAAAAGTCAATTAAAATTGAGTGAAGATAGATGTAATAAAAATTGATCAGGAATAGAAACAAATTGATCAGTCCCTTCAAAATTCCTTAAAGCATAGAAATCAAAAGCTCAGGAATAGAAGCAAATTGATCAGATAACATTTTAGAAAAAGTCAAACCTCATCATGAAGCAAAATTATTTACCACAACCTTTACTTCGGCATATGAGACAACTAAGAGGACAGGTCCTATGGTTACATTTTACACAAACATCCAAACGGTACCAACAATTGAATTTTCAAAAGGGGTAACAAGTATGAAGAAAAGCTCCAGAAATATTTATTAAATACAAATGAATAACATTTCAGATTATTGCGTATTTACCTCGAAAGTTATTCTCTTTTGTAACTACTCCAAATGTCTCAGCTGTTTCACGGATCATGATGCCGACCACCCCAATAAAAGAATCAATTTTGCAGTCAACCACTGCCAATAAAAAAAAAGGATATAATGAGCTACAAACATGTTTAGAAAAAAATCACCTTTGCCATGGAGTTCTTAGCTAGTTTCCACTTATAGACATAGACAAGCAATTATCTCATACAAAATTTTGCAAGCAATCCTATCAGCAAGTTGCCATTACTTTTAAAAATGAAACAGAAATTTAGTACAATTGAAATTGCAATAACAAACACAGATATCAAAAGGTAAATTTTGATAATATGAGCAGAAGAAAATTGAATATTTTAACTCCATTGTACAAACCAAGTGATTTTGAGTCCAAACTATTTTTTGCATGTACTGCACAGAAATTTTGTTAAACTGAATTCATCTGCGTAAGAAATGGTATATGACCATTAGATTCATTCCTATGCATTATGATTCTAAACGTAACATTTATCATCCATAACAATGTACTCTAAATTTCATTTAAGTGGAAATTTATAATTTGGATATTCCAACATAAGCTGGTGATCACATCATTCAGTATAGTCCTATGTGGTCCTATGCACTGTGATATGTGAAGGAGCATAATTTAGAACTAATAAAACTGACCATGATTTAGGATATCATGTAACAGTCCATGATATTATTATGCCATGCCATAATTAATACCTCAAACATTGGCCATTGGGTCAAAAAATTACGTCCCATAGTGCGCTAAAACTCCATTATGTAATGGCATTACAGAAAAGTTGATCTACATTACTACATAAGACTGTATGTACAAATATCCAAATGAAGACTCAATTTTATAACGTTAACCCTATAAAACCATGATTTATGAAATTTGAAGTCTAAGTTTTGAACTCCGTCCCTAGGGTAAATTGCATATTGTAATTGAATATTTCTTAAAAATTCAGGAGATAATCAAACATCAGATAAAAATATGCATAGATAATTTCATTGGTGGGGCCGGCTCAAAAACACAAGTCAAGCAAGAATAGACTTTTTCTAGCTAATTGTGTGAGTGTGTGTGTGTGGGGGGGGGGGGGAGGGGGGGGTGGAGGCCTTCATGGCCCACCTCCAAACTCCTTTTTATTAAAGCTGCCCTGGACGTCTAAGAAAATATAATAAAAAAAATTAACTATATAATAGGTCAGTGCTTACGAAAATTGCTTGGAGGCCCTTATGAATGCACGGGCTGGTCTCTCTCTCTCAAGGTAACACCCCTCCTTTTCCTCCAAACTATTGTATATGAGAACCCCTTCCCAACCCTATGTTACAGAAATCAATACCAGCCTAACAGGTAACATGAGAACTGGTTAAATTTTTTGGGGCAGCAATTCGGTCAATATGAATATTAATGTTACATTAATTTTCTTGAATATTTTATTAAAAGAGCATAAGCCCTTTCCCACTATAGGGCTAATTAAATAATCTGACTTAGATACCTCCAAGCCTTCCCTCCTTTTTTTGGTCAAGCAATCTTATCCCAAGCCATAATGCTTCAAGAACTCTCTGGGTGGCTTGGGACAAGATTGCTTGACATAAAAAGCAGAGGGGAGGGGGCATAGAATAAATATCATAAGACCTTAAGAAAGCCTGCTATCTCAAATTATGGTGGGAAGTCTTGACAAATGTAAATAACCTTGTTGTGCAAATGCTAAGGGGATAATATTGTAATCTAAAGTTAGGGCTTAAGTATTCTGCAAAGGGTCTCACACCTGCAGGAGTATGAGAAAAGTTTGGAAAGTTTTCACAGATCCCTTTAACGGAATGTAGGACCAATATAATTCTTTTCTAGACTGATAGTTGGTTGGGGATGAGATCCCTCTCACCATGGCCTAATAATTTAAAGTGGAAAAAAAAAAAATATCTTGCAACTAGTATAACCACTCCAACTCCCACAAGAAATCAGAGATCTAATTAATCCTATCCCCATCCCTATCCCTAACTCCTCCAATGCTGGATTTATTTATTCGCACCCCCACTTGTAAGAGTAGTTACTAAACTATAAGGCTTTAAATCTTGTCAAGAAATCATGTAGAGGCTTTGACAATCACTCGAGTTGCATATGGGAGATAAATATTCCCCAAAAAAATCCATTTCATCCTTGGATTTGTCATTCAAGACAGGCTGGCTCATAGACAAGGTTTTTTTTTCATGAAAAATCATTAACTCACCCGCATGTAATTGATGCCCTAGTTCTAGGGAGGATTCGCTAAATTTGTTGAGTTTGTTCCTATGTTAAAGAAGTTTGAAACACACTCCCACCATTTTCACAGATACCCTTCATACTTGACTCAAAAAACCTACTCTTGCCTAGTAAAACCCCTCTAACTCACAACCTCTCCCTCCTAAATAACTATTGTCCTTCTTCATTTGGTCAATATGGACTCTGAGGAACACTGCTATTTTCCAGAACACGGCCCAACATACCAGAGCGTGCACAAAGCACAAAGTCTGGCCTAGAAAGTTTACATGCATCAAATAAATCTCTTCTACCCAATACCAAGATAATATGTCACTTCCCCTCCCCACCCCCCACCCCATTAAAAGGATTTCTCTTGAATGTGATGCCTCTTTCGACGGTAAGCACTATGCGATATTTGCAGGCTATCTAGTGATGAAAAGAGGATGGTTGTTTGGTTCCAAATTTTTCCTTGCCTCTCTCCTTTAGGAGAACTGGAAACAATCTAGGCTTCAAATTTGTGTGGACGAAAGATGGGCAAGTAATAAGGCAATTGAGAATGGAAGAGCTTAACAACCCCAAAGACAAATGCATAGTCCTGTGTATAAAAGCAGAGACCTAATGTCTGTGATTAATCATGGAGGGCTAAACATGTGTCAAGAAGCGGAACAGACTCGCAAATAGGGAGCATCCACAATAAGAAACTACAACCTTTGTAGCTCTGCTTTGCCACATCACTATTCTCAAATTATATCAATTCCAAGCTACAACCTCTTCAATGGAAAGCCAAAAGTACTAGTATGTCCCACATGCCAATTATCATTTATTTTTTTATATACAATTCACACTTTGCAATTGTCTTTTAATTATAAGTATTTATAGTTGTGGATAAAAATTTTAATTGTGGTTCAAAATTCTTGGAACCAAAAAAAAATCTGAATTATAAACATTATAAACTTTAAATGACACTTTAATTTGTAGGAATTTAGAGTAAATTCTTTGTAGGAAGGGAAAAAAATCACAACGTAACACATACAGATTACAATTTATATACGATCGAAAGAGGAAGTATGTCAATTATTCCGAAACAAAGGGCGTAAAAATCAAACCAACATCATTAAATAAATGCGGCCCCAATCAAACTACTTGCATTATTGTCATTATTAAACGTGAAACTACGTAGCTTTGTAGAGCTACATAGTTTCATAAAGCTACAACTAATACTCTATTGGTGAGGCTTGTTGCTTTATCTATTTAATTTTGCAAGCTGGGAGCTAAAGTGCTTCATTGTGGATGCTCAGAGTGTAAGAAAAGGGATACTTTTTCTAATGTGAATATGACTTTCCCTGAAAAAATTTACAATGGTCCTCCTATAATGAACTAATTTCCAAATTGTGTTTGTTTTCATATTTCTGCTACGCATAAAAAAAATTATTTAAAAACAAAGATACAAGACAAAAACTCTAAGACACAACTACAGATTTGTTTGATTCTGAGATTTATTATGCAGGTTTCCCAAAGTAGAATTTTGAGATGAGATTCAAGATTTTCTATAATCCTTGAAACTGGAGAGAATTTCTTAGAAAATTATAGTGAGAAGTTGCTATTGCATCTGTAAGCTCATCACTCTTTCAAAATGATTGGTTACAAAGTGGAAGAAAGGAAAGGGATCAATTATGAGGCAATGGATTTGATCAAAGAAGAAACAAGAGAAAGAAGGCAGATGAGAAGAGATAACATCTAGGAGGAGAAGGGAGGGAGGGGGGGCGAAGCAGGGTTGCCATGGCAGTCAATAGGAGAGGTGGGCCGTGGAAGAAATAAGAGGGAATGGACTAGAGTTCTCTGGTCCCATAGCTCAAAATTCAAATATCTTACGTAGTATTTAGTTTAAAGCACAATTACCTATGGCAAAATCTTGAAACAGAAAATCAGGTTACTTCTATTTTATCCACGTTAAGAATAGCTAAAAAATCATGTGGATATACTTCACAATTGCAAGGTTGTGAATCTTGTGATGGACTTCTGGTACAAACTATGCTGCCTGTGGCAATTCAAGACTAAAATATAGGAGGAATGAAATGGAATGCTTGAAAGACATAGGGCATTAAAGCTGATTTGTAAAGCCTTTGGCTGCACCTGCCAATTTGTATGGGATGAACAGAACCATAAACTATCCAAAGGAGACCTGACCTTGCACAGCTTATATAACCATAATAAAGAGAGGCTATTCAGAGTAATGACCCAAATGAGAAACAAAACAAATACTAAGTATGAAATTGGGTAGGTTGTAAGATCATATTGGTTTTGTTCACTACTCATGATGTATGCTCTTGATCTCAAGCTAGGTATGCTGCAGTTATTAGAATAATAATTATTTCAGTCCCTGCCCCCAATGCCAAAAGAAAAAAATATATATATACTAGGAAGCCTGGTGGTTGTTATAATCTTATTCCTCAGTCCATTTTGATTTATTTACAGTAATTCAGACAACCTACTGATGATTAACATCAAACAATCAGATTTTTCATGAATATTGCATTGTGCTAAATTAAATACGAAGCACAAAGTATATAATATATTAAAGCACAATGAAATCAGAAACCTCGAAGAATAGCACCATGGAGATCTGCAACATATAGAGAGTGGGCCACATGATTTTTCCTACAGACATAAAATGAAATATTTGAACATAAAATTCAAATGTCCCTAAAAGGTAAGAAAGAAACCGATGCACTTTTTCATATTGATGTATAAAAATATACATAGATAAATAAAAGCCACAAGAGGAGCTCTTACCCGCCGTTTTTCAAAAGCTGCATTACATACTTCTGCCACATCTCATGCATTGGCATAAAAAGCTCAAATCTAGAAACAAGACAAGGTAGACAACTTAAAAAAGGGCCCAAGAACTAACGTACACAAAATAAATAAATAAATAAATAAATAAATAAATAAATAAATAAATAAATAAATAAATAAATAAAATAAAGGTTGAATGGAGAGTGGAGAGATTCAAGAGACACCCTGACGCAGTGATGCAAAACTATTAATTGTTCAGATATTACAAAAACTGAAAACATATAAAAACAAACCAAGACAATGAGGTACTCAAAGTGTACGATCAATCCCTGTGTGCTGGAGGGACGACCGCAACCTACTTCTATAACTAAGGTCATAGCCAATAACAATATTCGGAAGGGAACAAAATCTTGGTTCAGAAGAGCTTCAGCAAACAAACACTGATAACTAAACTTGTACCAAATTATAAAGGTTGAGACAAATGTGTTAGCACATAAATCAAAGACAAATGACTTCAATGAAGAAAATAAGCCGGACTAAGAAAATGTACAAATACTCATAAAACAAATAAGCCAATAAGCCTACATAACCCATCTGTATCATCAAACTTAAGCAATTTTTGCAGAAAAAAATTCCATCAAATGAATGGTAGGAGGGTCTTAGCTCATTAAAAGATCTGAAGTCTGATTTAGAAGAAAGCTACACGTTATCATCTACCAAATCACCCAGCACCAAACAGTAGCTCACACCTTTTCTCTCTCATCCCCATTTCTCAGCCCACAAAACTACAATCTCCACCTCATCATCACTGATGATATTATGAGAATATTCACTGACATCCTATATTTTTTCTTTCCCATTAACATCAGAACATTCATAAGATCTTAAATGAGTCCAGGGCCCAGGGAAAAACAAACGTCTCTTAAAAGGTCCCAATGAAAGTGTCCAACACATTGTACATTGATATACTGATAAGGAAAACATATCTCAACCAGACATTTAGAAATACATGCAAAGAGATTATTGTATCTGTAAAAATGAAAGACAAAAATTTACTGTACACAGTTTTTTTTATAAAAAAATAAAGCATTTAAGCACTCACTTGAGTAGGTCCCGAGGCAGATTGGACCCACACTTTTTCAGCTGTTTCATGGACATATGCCTCTTAGAACGCTTGGAGTTTGCACGCAATGCTCGTAAGCGGGCGACAGATGTATTATTCCCTTGTACAAAATTATCAAGTAGAATCCAATTATCAAACTTTACACTCCTAGAGCCCTGAATGTACTTCTGAGCAGAATCACCCTTCTGAAGGAGCTCGTGCAAAATTTTATCAACTGCAGTCTTGTCTTTATTAGATAGCTGAACAATCCAAGAAAGATATAAAAAGTATAAGCCCCATACATGTACCAAAAAAAAACAAGAAACTCCCTTCTAAAATATGCTTCAACCACTCACCTCTACAGTAATCAGGAGATTTGCATGCACAGACTCACAAATACGCGAGTAAGTAAGACCCTCTCCTTCCAAGTCTGCAAGAATTTGCATACATGACTTGCACAAGTGAGTTCCATCAAATATAATAATAAAATAGATAAATAATCAACAGCATGAGGCAGAAAATCTTTATCCAGACATGGGCACCAAACAAATTATCTGCGGCCTGTTAATAATCAACAGCATGTGGCAGAAAATCTTTATACAAAATTATCTGCGAACTGCAGTAAGACCCTCTCATTTCAGCACTAGTTCAAAAAAACCACATAAAGCAAAACTTTCAGCATTATCTCATCAATCACTAAAAATTGGATTAATAGCTGGATAAAATAATCATTAAGCGAAGGTAATTGATCGCAAGGATGCATCCAAAAAAGAAAACAACACATAATAGATAATTGAAACAATCTTAGGTTTATATAACATCTATTCAAGAACTACAAAAGAGAACTTTTGTGCTGTAAATGGAGCAATTTTTACTCATCTATGCATCTCAAGAATCTATTGATACATGTTCAACAGGTAATTCAATCTCAGTTAACAATAACAAATAAAACAAATGTCAAGATAATTTAATGGCAATGAAAAGAAAAAAAAAATAATAATAATAACAGACCTTTTTTTAATGAAGTATTCTGCACAGAAGCAGCTGATGCTTCAGCCGAAGGTCCTATAGAAGAACCAACAAGTGCAGGCTTCAAAAGCGTCTCGTGACACCTTCGCTTCTCCCTTACTTGAGGCTGAGCCTCGGCTTTCGCAGCGGCAAATCGGCGTTCCAATGCCTCCATGGTCCGTTTCTTCTGTTCATCTACAAACATCTTTGTTGCCATGAGACCAAATATTGCTGAATCAACCTTTCACCCGCTGCATCCAAAGTTGAGCATAACCTCTTTATATATAATAAGCAAAATTCGTTTTACTAATAATTATTTCTTGACAAATCTTCACAATTTACACACTAGAATTTAAATTTTACAATTCAAAAAAATAATGAAATGTCATTGCAAATTTCCAGGCTTAATCACTAAATGGTAACAAAATATTAATATACAATTGAATGTTATACCATACAATTTGTTGTTCATATTCGCATTATACAAATTAGTGATGCACGGATTCGTCAAATCCTTGCCCAGCCCATTTCTTAAAAGCTAAAAACCCAAATTACATACCTAATTTAAGTTTTCTCATTTTCTCAAAAACCGTAAATATTCAAGCAGCTGCGATTTCTCGATTCAGTTAGAGGCGACCAGCAGCGACCTACCTGCACGAGGCGACGGGGTTGAAATTGACGCTTGCGGCTGCTATTTACGGCTATTATTGTTGTTGACTTGTTGCATATGTTTATGCGGCGGTGAGGGAGAGTTTGTCGGTGCTGGATACAGAGGCAGAGGTAGCAGGTGGTAATTTTAAGTGTGAGTGTGTTTGTTGCAACTTGCGGGTGGAGGCAGGGGCAAGGTGGGAGAGGCCTACAGGTGGTTGTAGTGTTGGATGGTGGCTGTTGGGTGAGGGATGAATGTGGGTGTGTGCGTGTTAGCAGGGAGAGTTCACCATATGAAGCAACAATAAGTAGTGGTGAAACTAATGCGGTTTAAAACCGAATTAAACCGCAAATCAAATCGAATTAGAAATGTGGTGCGGTATTTTTTTCTAACATGGTTCGGTGCGGTTTGAGGAATCCCAAAACCGAATTGATATATTTTGATTTCGGTTTTAAGATTTGAAAAACCGAATTATGATCAATGGTGGCATGAATGGCTTTTTTAAGGGAAAGAAGGGCATAAAACAGGGGGATCCCATGTCTCCTCTCCTATTTGTCATTTTTATGGAGTATTTGTCAAGGCTGCTGATTAGGGGATTTTGCTCCCACCAATCGGAATGCGCCACGTGGGCCAATCAGGTTGCCAAGTGTCCCCCAGTTGGACCTCTCAGGGCTTGCCACGTGGCACACGCTTATTCGTCCACCCTGGACTTATTATGACATGACACGTGGCATTCTCCATGCCTAATGGAGAAGCCGGTCACCTAGGCCCAACTTCCGAGGGAAGCCCAATCAGCCCAAGGTTAACCTAAACCTAGATTGGCACGTTTCCCGAGGTTATAAATACCTCCCTTAATCCTCATTAAGGGAGATTACGCAGATTACACACATTAAACACTCTCACCTAGACAGACCCAATCACTTTAATTTCCGCATTAATTACTCCTCAAACAAGTACTAACTTGACCGTTGGAGGCGGAGCTCCCACCACAAGGAGTCTCCGTTGTTTTGCAGGTACAGGCGTCCGGTTCCAGTCTCGGAATTGTAACTCTCCCGCAGGACATCAGAAAACCCCGAAACATTTTGGCGCCGTCTGTGGGGAGAGTACTTCTGAGATGGCACCCACGTTTGTACAGGCTCCTGAAGAAAAACGTCCCTTGGACGATCCTCTAGTTCAGTCGGACCACGATACTGAGAATGAATTTGAAGTTGAAGCTCACACAGCTTCAGACGGGACCCTTAGGGCCCGACGTACCCGTCATACCGAAAGGAGGGAACGGGAACATCTTCAAACTGGAAGCGAGCCAGCAGGCGCACCGCCTGTTCGGCAGCAGCCGACTGATGGGTCTGCTCCCATCACAAGGAACGAACTCATGACCTTCATGAGGGACTTCAAGGGAGAAATTCAAGAGTTGATCAACAAGAAGCCGCCTGCTCTGGAGAAGGAGCAGTCGGCTAAGAAACCCTCCACTTCACGGAAGAGGAAGCCAGTTCAAGGGCGAGAGGCGACCCCTCATCCTAAATCTAGGAAGTGGGAGCCACCTGCCCTTGATTTCACAAAATACCGTTTTCCTACTCCAGGAAATAGGAAACCTGTTCGTCATATTCAGGCGGACGGGTCGAGGAAAACATACACAGACGCTCGGCTACTGCTAGAGCAGAAGAAGAGTGGCCGATTGTCAGAGTCGGCCTCTACTTCAAACTTCCAAGACAGTCTGCGAAATACCTCGATGAGGCATACTCAGTCGTATCATGAGGGTCAGTCAGGCGGCACCTCCCGTCAATCCGGCTTTCATAGCGACCAGGCGGTACCAAACTTACCGTTTGTACCGCAACAACAGTATTTTTTACAGCCACCTCCGTTTGGTGGACATGCAGCAAAAAATGTCCAACCTATGGACTGGCAGCTACGGTTGCTTAGACTTGGTGAACAGCCGTCGGCCTTCTCCAAGGAAATTACTGAAGCCGCTCAGCCGGCCAAAGTGAAAAATGTATTAGTAGGCGCCTATGACGGCACTACTAACCCAGAAGACCATCTGATGGCATTCACCAACCTGATGTACCTTCAAGGGTTGGATGATCTCACTTGGTGCAAGTGTTTCCCAGCGACTCTCAAAGGAATCGCACAACAATGGTTCGGCAACCTGCCGAATGGTTGTGTAAATAACTTCAAGACGCTTGCTTACTTATTCACCTCCAACTTCGCCATGAACATCCCTGCGAAGAAGACGACCCTTGATTTAGGAACAATTTAGCAGGGCGAGAAGGACGGGCTTCGTTCTTACATCAGGCGATTTAACCTGATGAGAATACAGATTCAAGGGTTACCGGATGAAGTAGCCTATACTGAATTTTTCAGAGGTCTCAAAGACGGGTCGACCTTCAAATTTGATTTGGTCCGAAAGAGGGTGGCGACTCTTCAAGAGGCCTTGATTGAAGCGGAAGCCTATATACAGGCGACTGATCTTTGTAGTACGGTAAAACAGTCAGACGAGAAAAGGTCCGACAAAAGAGAAGGACGACAGAAGCAGTCGTCAAACAAAGACGAGAAGAGAAAAGAGGTCTGGGCAACTGATTCCTCTAAACAGCCGTCCCAGAAGAAGAAAAAAGAATTCAAACCATACTCCCCAAAGTATGTGTTTAACAAGGATAGCCAATTTATCCTAAAGGAAATCAAGGGACGGATCTCAATTGAGAAGCCGGTCCCCATGAAGGGTTCTGCAAACAATCGGAACCAAGAAAAATTATGTGATTATCATGAAGATGTTGGTCATCACACCAATGAATGCATCAGTCTCATGCGGTATCTGGACCGCCTGGCTGAGCAAGGTGACCTTGACACTTATGTCAAGAAAAATACGGGGAACACTTCCTCGAAAAAGCAGTCGACCAAAAAGAATCAACAGGCCGACAGCTCCGATACAGATGATGCAGTCGTCTACACCATTGCAGGCGGCTTCTCAGGAGGCGGCCCCACTATTAGGGGCAACAAAGACAATATCAGACGGTTAGATGTAAATTCCGTTCACTAAGAACGGCCCTCCAAATATTCATTTCCTGAGATTGTCATCACTGAAGAAGATCTAGGAGGGGTAAGAGGGCCGCATGACTACCCTATCGTTATTGAATGTAAAGTGGCCAACCAGAGAGTTGGCCGAATCCTCATAGATACCAGAAGCTCCTCAGATCTCATCAGTAGCAAATGTCTGTCGAAACTAAAATATCAGACTGATTGCATACATCCGGCATCCCACCCTTTAGTAGGGTTTGGAGGAGGAGGAGTCCACCCAGTGGGACGAGTGGATTTACCCATCCGCCTGGGCGAAAAAGGGGAAGGACGACACATGGTAGTCCGGTTCCTGGTAGTAGAAGAACTCTCGGCCTACAACATGATTTTGGGACGACCAACCCTGAATAATTCCAAGGCTGTTATAATCCCATCTCTTATGTTGCTCAAGTTTGAGAGGGATAATGGAACAGTCGGGTCCCTAAGGGGAGATCAGAGGATGGCCCGAGAGTGCTATCTCTCGGATGTCAAGCCCACTGTTATGGCCACTGGGTCGAGCGGTGGAAAAATAGACCTTGACAATGTCAAGGAGAGTGCGCATGTTCAAGAAGGAGGCGGCAAGAAGAGAAAGGCATCCCAGACATGGGCCGCAAGAAAAGACAGAAAATAGCAATCATTGGCAGAGGAGCGGTCGGATGAATTCCACCCTCAGCCAGCTGGTGAGCATACGGACCTGATCTTAGATGACTCGCGTCCTGACAGAACAATCAAGGTTGGGACGACTGCTCTAAGGGACCTGGGTGACGACTTTCACAAACTATTGAAAGAATACAAGGACATCTTTGCATTCGAAGTCCATGAAATGCCAGGCATTAGTCCTGATCTGGCGGTACATAAACTGGCCGTGGATCCGAAAAAGAAGCCGGTACGGCAGAAGAAGCGGAACCATGGCGAAGAAAGAAGTCAGGCGGCAGCCGCCGAAGTTAAAAAATTACTTGATGCAGGGTTCATTCGGCAATGTTACTTCCCAGACTGGGTTGCAAATGTGGTGCTTGTTAAAAAGCCGAATGGCACCTGGCGAATGTGTGTAGACTACACAGACTTAAACAAGGCGTGCCCCAAAGACAGTTACCCTCTGCCTAAAATTGATAACCTGGTCGACTCAACAGCCGGCCATGCTTTGATGAGCTTTATGGACGCCTACTCTGGTTTCCATCAAATTCCTTCATGGAAGAAAGATCAGGAGAAGACGGCCTTCGTCACTGATCAGGGGTTATATTGTTACACGGTCATGCCGTTTGGTCTTAAGAATGCCCCGGCCACTTTCCAGCGAATGATAAACACTGTGTTCTTTGATCAGATTGGGAGAAATGTCGAGGCATATATTGATGATATGATTGTCAAGTCTAAACTTCAGAAAGATCATCTGTCGGACCTCCGAGAAACTTTCGCCACACTCAGGCGGCACCATGTCATGCTCAATCCCAGGAAATGTTTCTTTGGAGTTGAGTCTGGGAAATTTCTCGGATTCCTTATCAATCAGAGAGGAATAAAGGCGAACCCTGAGAAGGTGCAGGCGGTCATCGACATGCAGTCGCCTCGTACCATCCGAGAGGTTCAGAAGTTAACAGGTTGTCTGGCGGCCTTAGGAAGATTTCTAAGCCGATCAGGCGACAAATGCCTATACTTTTTCCAGGCAATTAAGAAAAAGGCAAGGTTTGAATGGGGGCCGGATGCTGAGGTGGCCTTCCAGAAAGTGAAAGTTCACTTGCAACCAAAGAAGCTAGCCATAGTAAAACATGCGGCACATGAAACACAATTATCGTGCTAAGTTCAAATATCATGCTGAGATTTGACGTTGATGTTGGGTACGAGTACATGCCAAGTAGATGCTAAGCTATCCATTCGTCCAACCAAGTGTGTATCCATGTGTTTGAAGAGCCGCATGAAGTGATCATCCAAGCCAAATTTATGAGCCCAAGAGTATATAACTCAACTTGCTAAGTTAGGGAATCCTCATTGCTCTTATTTCAGCCGGCATTCAGTGCTCAGACGCTCAATAAAATCAAATAGTCGGCCACCCTTGTTAATGAAAACAGGCGGCCACAAGTGCTCTTCAAGACTCAAGCCCAGTCCCAGCTAGACTCACCTTAAACAACCGGCACTTGGTTGAAAGGGCATGAACAAAAGTGGGTCTTCATACTTTTTATATAGGGGCCGAGTCTTATGATCATTTTTGTCTAAATAATGCCAAGCACGTAAATAGCATGCAACCGGCATCATGCGCTAGTCACCTAGCTTCAG